AGGGGAGGATGCGAAGGCACTGGATGTCACTGTAGCCCAGCAGAAAATAATGAATTCTCAACAGTTCTTATCTCACGCTGATTATTGTTTGGTGGTATCCAGAACAACGGAGGATATTTTGAGGGAAATTTTTTCTTCAGGGCGAAGGCACTCAGCATTCAGGGTGTAGAGAAAGTCATGTACTGAGGAAGATCTGCGTATCACTACATGGTACAAGTCAGACTGCAGAGGACAGATAAACCCTGGGATTCGGGCTGCCGGGTGCGATGGGATGAGTGTCCACAAATCCAGGATAGTCTTGGGCAAACCAACCTCTCTTTTCTCACTGCTTCCCCCTGTAAGGGCAGAATTTGGGAGGCAGGATCGGAATTTAGCTTTGTTTTGTGCTGTTGGTGAAAAAAAAGCTCATTATTGCTTTGACATTTTGAATGCAACATAATCTGTGGTGCAGTAATGGAGGGAACACATTTGAATATTTCTGGAAAGGACCATCTCTTGTCATTATATGCAGAAAAGGCAAGAGTGTTCAATAAGTTAATAGCTTATGATCATCTGCTTAGGGAGAAGATACTAGAAAGATTTTTTAATCTACCAGATCAAAACATAAGGAGATCTAATGGTTGGCAGTTGAACTCAGCAATTTGAATTGGCAAGATGACTTTTTTTAATATTGAAGATGGCCAAGCATTGCCACAGACTACTCTGATACACAGTGAATTCTCTCTCAGTTGTCATTTCCAAATCAAGTTGGGCTCATGATGGGCTGGATGATATCCGTATGTGAGCTGCAGATGAAATTGTTTCCTATGTCTTTTGTGTACATGTTAGTAGGACAAAATATTATGATCTTAAATTTGAGGAAGGGAAGGTTGTAGACTCTCCATCCGTGTGGCCTTTGAAGTGGGATGATGGAGCATCTGCCACAGATATGAATGGATGCACAAATATGGACATCCCTTGGGTCAGGAACTGGACAAGGGCAACCCTGCGGGTTTATCCCAGTCCTCTCATTCTTTAATTTCATGGTCCTTCCTAGCCTTTAAATCAGTATTTCTGAACCTATACACCTGTGTCTCAGTAGGATCCAGCCCTACAAACCCATCTCATGCCTGAACTCCACTGGTAGTATTTGCTTGGCTTTAGTGCATCCTTGAAGCTACTATTGACTGCTGATGGCGTGTGGCTTGTACGAGTACGTACACCACATCCACCAATCAATGTAAAGATAAAATAACTATTTGAGCCATCAGCCCCGAAAATCCTGCCTAGTTACAGAGTGTAGGGCTGAATCCATGTGCAATTCATTGAGCAGTATTAATGAAGTCTTGGCTTGTGCTTAACTCTAAGCACATGAATAATTTCATCACCATCCAACAGAGCACTTCAGCCTATGCTTAAGTTTCACTGATGCTGATTACTCACATGCTCAAAGTCAAGCACATGCTAAAGTGATAAAGACTGCATATGGCAAAGCCTATATAGCTAGTTGTCATAAAGTGGGTATTTAGACAGACTTCAGTGCAGGTGGCAAGGGATTAAGATAGCCATATATCAAAAGTAGCCTTATAACAAAGAGTTTTATAGTGTAGGTGCACTGCATTATTAAATATAAGGATCATTCTTGAGCAATACGTGGCTGTTTCTGGGCATGTTTAAAATATTTAGCAAGTTTTTGAATATAAAAATGTTCGGAGTGGATCTTCAAAGACTTTTTGACATTGCTCTGTTCTTAAAAGTGAGCATCTACACTGCTCAGGGCAACTTCTAGGCAAGATATCCATGAAGTGATAATACAAAAATGAACATTTTATTGTTTTTTTTTTTCTTTTCTTTTTTTTTTTTAAATGGGGAGTCTGGGGAGAGTCTTTGAGGGCTGTGGAAGTTAAAATATGCAGATACACAGGCATGCACGCAGGAGCACTCGTGAAGCAGCCAGGGACAGGGACTGGTAGCCAGGTAGCCTGCAGTCAATTTTGCCGTGTGCTGGGGTCTCCTGAAGAGGAGTGTTAAGGAGCACAAACACAAAACAAAACAAAAAAGGAAGAGCAGACCGTTTGGTGACTGCTAGCTTGTAAACCTTAGATCACTAATAGCACTAGTTTGCTCTGTTTGAAAGAAAACTCAGAAAAGGAGGGGGATTTACTTTCCTCACCTCAGCTGAAGTTTTGGAGAACAAAACAACCCAAAACTTCTCAGTTCCACCTAACGTGTAGTAGCAAGCATCCAGCCAGCTGCCATTTTGAGGGTAATTTTTTTAATCAGCCATTTCAGTTTTAGATTGGCCTTGATCCTCAGCCTGCTCAGGAATTTTCTCCCCCCCTTTACGTATGTGCCTTTGCTGGAGGAAACGTGTTGCTGCCGTTGTCGCCGCCGTCTCATCCACAGCTGCTTTCTTCCCCGTGTCAGCTCTTGAGCTAAGCAAGGAGAATGCATGCACACACTCACACACTTTATTTTTTTAAATAGTAATAATAAAAAAACCCCAACAAAAAAAAGAACGCATGCTGTGACTTTAAAAGTGAAAGAATCGAACAGCTGTGGGTAATAAATCGATTAATTAGAGTGGATAAAATGAAGGTGAAGGGTGCAGAGCACTCTTTAATTTGAAGATATATGACCTTGTAAGATGCTGCACTTCATTTGCTATCAGATCACACTTCACAAGGGGCTTTATTAAAATCTATTCTGGGGTGAGCTGAGGTAAAACATATTGTTAAAAAAAGCTTTTGACAGAGTATGTTATATACTTTAGTCTGCTTCAGTGATTTCTGTCACTTTTTATACTACACATGTTGCCGGGGAAGAAAAGTTAAAGGTCTAGACATTTTCATCATATTTCTGTAAGAAACAGAAATTTAAATATTCGAAGTAATAATGGGAGCATTTACTGTTGCTTTGGCTGCGGAGCTGACATAAAACTCCCGCACTGCCTGAGTGCTGAGTAGATTTTAAGGGATAATGTATCAGCTCCCTTCTGCGTTTGTGTGTGGCTTTCATTAATGTCAATAGCAGTTACGGGCACCTTTTTCCAAGCCGAATACAGTTCCCAAACCTGGGCGTTTTTTCCCTGTAGCCGTCGTTAGGGATTAATCAAAGTGCCCGGGTCCATCCCGTGGATGGGGTACGGGGGGCAGAAACGCCTGCCATGCCATGAACAATTTATTTTGGCTGTGGAGAGCTGGCTTCTCCAAAAATTGGGCTCTGAAGCTGCTATCCAGAGCAACAGCCCTCCTAAATCAATAGGAGCTGCACCGCATTTATCACCCACCTTTGTAAGTAAGTCTCAATCTGATAGCTGCTCTTTTCTTTACGCTCTTATGGGTGTTCATTGGGTGATGAGATGAGATAGACTGACAGGCTGATAGGTAGGCAGATAATCTCCTTGTATGAGGGTTTGTAGGTTTTGTTAGCGGCAGCCGTTCCCGAAACAGCCAGAAGAGGGGAATTCAGTCAGCAGCACTCCTGCCTTGCCTGGCGTGCCCGAGTTTTAGGTTTTTTTCCCTTTTTTTTTTTCTGACTGCCATGAGTCATTCCCTTTTACAGAGCTACTTTTCATAATACGGCTCGGTTCACCTTATAAACTCTTTCATTTTCAAGCTGAAGCAACAGGCTTTCACGAATCGCAGCATCTCCCCCCCCCTTTTGAAAGGGGTTTCGTGGTTCAGCTTCGGAGCTGAGCTCCTGCGGAGGGGCTGGGGCTTAGCTCAGGTCCTCGGTGCAGATTCGGGTCAGGCGGGAAACCCGGTCCAGGCTTTGAACTTTCAGGAAGTTTAAAGCCTTTAGGAGCAGCAGGGCCATCGGTAGCCAAAATATGTGTTTACATAAACAAACAAATAAACAAACAAGAGATTAATTGGAGATTTTCTAAAACGGGTAGTTGTTTTTTCTGGAAACCTCCCCCTCATTAAAAAAAACCCCAACAACCAAACAAAAAAGCAACCGACGGAATCCTGGATCATGATTTTCAAGTTCAAAATGAATTTATCAGAGTCTTGCAGAGGCATTGAAAAAAGGGAGGGGGGGGAGAAAAGTGCTTTTTGAAGATAGCACATAGTTTATATTGTGCCCAGGACTGGAATTTTCGAGCTAGCAAAATTCTGACTGTGGCGCAGACGTGTCCACACCTGTCCTTTAGGTAAAGCTGAATCAAGGTTAAAGGAATGCTTTCCACCTTTGTGCCGCCGTTCCAAGGGGCTAGAAAGGCAAACAGAACAATGTTTTTGGCTCCGGTGAGCGCTTCTGGGTTGGAGGGCAGGCTCAGGCTCAGAAATTCTTGGGACCCGGTTCAAGCACGACCCGACATTTGTTACTGTTAATTGCAACTGTGCTGTCGGCTTTGATTACCGGATGTTTCGTTTGAGTGGCTTCTTGGTGTTTTGGCAAAAAAGAACGTCAAAGTGGTTTATGCAAGGGTACGTTTTCCAAGCTCCTGTTGACTTGAATAGGACTTGCGCAGCTAAATACCTACACGGCATTTTAAAAATGGAAGTGCTGGCATGAGCGAAGCGTGTATAAATTAAATTCAGCAAGATCTCAGGGGACTGCTGCATGAAGTATATGGAAATATAAAATGAAAGAGTGAAAATGACACTGACGCTCCTTGCAGGTGCCTTGTAAAACCTACCACGCTGCATTTTCCTTGGTTTTTTTGTCTGTAGTCGTAAACCCCTCGAAACAAATTCCTTTTTTGTGGAATAAACACGTGAAAGGATTTGGATCCTTATGCGTCACAAAGGAAGGTTTTATTTGCACGTTAGAGGATCTAAACGTATATAGCGCCAACGCGTACGTGTGATATTTGTCATACATGTTAAGTGAATAAGTGTGGTGAGTAAATGTGCTGTTCAACAATTTACATCAGTCAATACATTGCAATTAAGTCCTTCTTTCAGAAATGCCAAGGAGGAAATGTGCTAGCAAAATACAGCGCATGCCAACGGTATTTAAACGTTCTCCGCTGTATTATTTTTTGAGTGTTCTTTCTGTTTTTTCTTTTATAGGTAAAGATGAGCCTTCAAGCTATATTTGCACAACATGCAAGCAGCCTTTTAACAGCGCTTGGTTCTTGCTTCAGCATGCCCAGAACACACATGGATTCCGCATCTACCTGGAAACGAGCCCTTCCAACAGTTCCCTCACTCCACGCATCACCATCCCTCCTCCTCTGGGACCGGAGACTGTTGCACAGTCCCCGCTGATGAATTTCCTCGGAGACAACAACCCCTTCAATCTCTTGCGGATGACAGGACCCATCTTGCGTGAACACCCTGGCTTTGGTGAGGGTCGGCTCCCAAACACGCCCCCGCTCTTCAGCCCGCCGCCTCGTCATCATCTGGATCCACATCGCCTTAGTGCCGAAGAAATGGGGTTAGTTGCCCAGCATCCCAGTGCCTTTGACAGAGTTATGCGTTTAAACCCCATGGCAATTGAGTCCCCAGCGATGGATTTCTCCAGAAGGCTTCGAGAGCTGGCAGGAAACAGTTCCACCCCTCCGCCAGTCTCGCCCAGTCGCACCAACCCTATGCATCGCCTGTTGAATCCTTTCCAGCCGAGTCCTAAATCACCTTTTTTGAGCACCCCGCCACTGCCCCCCATGCCCCCCAGCAGCACTACGCCTCCCCAGCCTCAGGCCAAGAGCAAGTCCTGTGAATTCTGTGGGAAAACATTCAAGTTCCAGAGTAACCTTATCGTGCACCGGCGCAGTCACACAGGAGAAAAGCCCTACAAGTGTCAGCTCTGTGACCACGCTTGCTCCCAGGCCAGCAAGCTAAAACGCCACATGAAAACACATATGCATAAAGCTGGCTCCATGACGGGCAGGTCAGACGACGGACTGTCCACCACTAGTTCGCCCGAGCCGGGCACAAGCGAGCTCACTGGAGAGGGACTGAAATCCAGTGAGGCAGATTTCAGGAACGAGAGTGATCCTTCCCTGGGCCATGACAACGAAGAAGAGGAAGAGGAGGAGGAGGAGGAAGAGGAGCTCGAAAACGAGAGCCGGCCAGAGTCGAGCTTCAGTATGGACTCGGAGCTGAGTCGCAACCGAGAAAACGGCTCCAAGTCGCTGCCGGACGAGAAATCCCTCGTCCTGGGAAAAGTAATTGAGAATGTAAGTCTAGGTGCCATCCAGCAATACAATGACATGCTAGCCGAAAAACAGAAGAGGAGTAGCTTCATGAAAAGGTCTTCTGACCAGCGAGACTTGTGTCCTCGAGACCTCTGTCAGAGAGATCCAGGTGATGAAGACTCAGTGGTAGGAGAGCTGGACCGCACCGAGGAAGGGACGGTCAATGGAAGAAACTTTGGCCCGGGCGAACCCTTCCCAAACTTGTTCCCCCGCAAGCCGACGCCTATCACGAGCCCCAGTTTAAACAATTCCTCTAAAAGAATAAAGGTAGAGAAAGATTTGGACTTGCCACCAGCAACGATTATACCTTCCGAAAACGTTTACTCCCAGTGGCTGGTAGGGTACGCGGCATCGCGGCACTTCATGAAGGATCCGTTCCTCGGATTCACAGACTCCCGACAATCCCCCTTCGCGACCTCTTCCGAGCACTCGTCGGAGAACGGGAGCCTGCGTTTCTCCACGCCGCCGGGGGACATGCTGGACGGGGGGCTCTCAGGGCGCAGCGGCACGGCCAGCGGAGGCAGCACCCCCCACATCAGCGGTCCCGGCCCCGGGCGACCCAGTTCGAAGGAAGGGCGGAGGAGCGATACATGTGAGTACTGTGGCAAGGTCTTTAAG